GATGAAAGGAGCAAAACGTGAACTTTACGGTCTGGAGGGGCAGAGTCTGCTGAGCCAAGCTGGTAGTACCAGTTGCAGAACAGCAACAATGCTGCCCCCTGCAGGAGCATGAGGAAAATAAAAACGCTGAAGTCAACTTTGAAGATGGATTTCATGGCTGAAAGTAATTTTTCGTTTCTGGTATATGCAGTTTGAGTAGATCTGCCTTTTCTTTTTGCCAGGAGACAGATGACCGTCTCTTCTTCAGGGAAAAAAGACAGAGAACAGAAAAATATATGTATTATATATTGAAGTATCCCCTTATGAACAACTATCATTAAAAATCTAAGCTTAGCACCATTCTGACAAAAAGCAGACAGTGCTCCTTTCTACTGAACTCTTAATCTGAAACCAGAAGGAGAAAATCTTAACACAATATGGGTTCATAGTGCATGCCATGCAGCTGCTCGACTAAATGCAGTATATAAAACTTGTTTTAGATTTATTTATATAGGAAGACTTTAATATTTAGATTCTGACAATGATGTGATAGATTTATTTAAATCCTTGACAGAAATAATTCAGATAGATTTTCATTTGGAATTGAAACTGATTATAAATGTAGTATTGTTATTTGTTCTTTCCCTGCCAAAAGCAAATAAAAGAAAGGGCTAAAATAATCATGACAAATACCTGCTTTATTTTTCAAAAGGCACTTTGTCTCACATAGTAGCCTTGTATGAAATTAAGTGGTGATTGCTACGTAATAAGACTTATTAGTATTGTTGATATATTAATTATTCTTGTTTTATGAGGCCTGATATATTTGCCTTCAGTTCTGTAGTGCGTTTTACTTTTTTATTTATGGAGAATCCCTGATATAAATGCATTTGCTAATTATATATATATTCTAACTTATTTAGATGTGCTTGTATTTGATCCAAAAATGAAAGAAGAATTTTCTTTTGTAAAAAGGAGCTGCAACTTTTGGATCAAAAAAAGGGTTTCCTAGGCAACTCTGATACCAGCTACATTATGGCCTCTTGTAAACATACTTTACATGGTTTCATGCAGAGGTTGTCTGATCTTTTTTCAGTTGAAAGTGTATCAAGACAGGCAGTGTCCTATGCCAGCACATTCTGCACATATTCAGCCATATCAGATTGGCTCACCTTTCTGAATGTTATTTTCCATCAGACTTGTTTAGCTGGTTCTTGTGTCTGATGTCATCAGTGATGTCTTTCAAATCAATCTTTTTTTATTTTAATCCATTGATTTTAATTCCATCAAATAAGCTGCACATTTTCATTAAGAACTAGGCTTTTAATTAAGGGAAGAATGAAATCTATATATCATTAATTCTACCACTGCTAATGATAAATCAAAAAATTGGATTGTAATAAATTAAACAGTTTAACAGTATAAGGGCAAAATGTTCAAAATTCTTATTCTTCTTTACACCTTATTAAGGGTTAACTTTAGCTCTTACCGAGAGCCTTTATCGACTTATTAAACAAAGCAAACTGAACCACTCCTTTAAAAAACACTGATAAAGAGAAATGTCATTTTCTGTTTCATTTGATTAAGGTGTTGCTGTTCCACTTAGCTGAATAAAAAACAAAAATAAACTATAAGTTTTCCTTTAGCCAGCAGTAAAACAAATAGTTGTTCTTTTTATTAGGCATCTTGTTGATCTTAGTGTGGCGTTCACCATTTAATGACATATTTTTTATATATATTTTAATGCTGTAAAGCATCGTATAGTCTACCAACTGAGTTTTTACTCTTTTGAAGCATAATTCCAAAAAAGAGAACAGCAGAGATACAAAAAGAAAATTGTTAAAAATTTTAACATTATTATGTTTAACATATATTATGTTTTTTCCACGTTTTCTAACTTGAATGTCTGATTTAAGCCATGTATGTATGTATATA